TGTGCCTGTAGTCCCAGCTACTCGGGAGGCTGAGGCAGGAGGATTGCTTGAGCTTAGGAGTTTGGGGTTACAGTGAGCTATGATGACACCACTGCACTCTAGCCCAGGGTGACAGAGCGAGACCCTGTATCAAAAAACAACATTACCTTCAGCTCCTCCACCTCTGGTTTCTCCCTAAACAGTGAGAGCAAACAGGCGTCATCTCATGCACAAACTCCAACTGACCTGGAGGGTTTGTGTTAAGATGGAGGCTGCATCTAGTCTCAAGATGGAAAACAGTATCGTGATTGATTAATAATGTCTGCCACAGGTACAGGATATGAAATGGGTTATGTATTTTAGTTTAGTCATGTATTTTAATTTGGAAAGTGACAGAAAGGCAAAGGATCTTCAGCAAGAACTCAGAAGAATGGAAATGGAACTAAAAGCATTCATTCAGCACATATTACTAGCTCACCAAGTGCTGGCACTAAAACAACTCAAAGTCACAGAATGCAATAAGTTCCATGGGAGTTCAAGGGAGTCAGGAAAGACTTTCTGGATAAGGTGACCACTAAGCTGATTCCTTAAGGATAAATGGAACCCAGCTAGGCAAATGGAAGGTGAAAAAGGAGGAAAAGGAAGGCAAAGGGGGCTGGAAAATGGAGTGATCCACCAGGCAGAGGGACTGCCATGGGTAAAGCTCTGGAGGCAAGTGATGGCATGGTGCCATGTGTGCGGCTGCAAGCCATTTAGAAAGGCTACAGCACAGATTTCAAGGTGGGGTAATAGGGAGCTACTGAGGCTTCTAGGCAAGGAGTGGCAAGACTAAATGACATCTAAGTGTCCCCACCCCTGCCCTCCAATTGTTTTTTTTTATTTTCCCCCTGCCATGCTCAGCCAGGACGTCCAGTTGTGAATGCTCTAGAATAGCTGCAAAAATGACCTAAAAAACAAGAGAGCAGGCCTCACAGAAGTGAGTCTTGCAAACTGATCATTCAGGTGAGATCCAATTACTGGGTCATGGTAAGAGAAAGAAGATGGACAGAGGGCCAGCCTCTAAGTGAATGTGGTAAAACCTGTACCACTCAAGAGATTCCAATTGGAGATACAAAGGAGGGGCAAGTCCGAGACGTGGATGCTCTAAACCTGGCAGGCAGGAGGCCGACTTGCAGCCCACGCCCACTGAAGCAGAATGACACCACCTTCACCAAGCCCAACCCATTCTGTCACAAACCACACCCAACAAGGTTTAAGAAACGTGGTTCCCAGCACCAATAAGAGAGTGGGAAAAAATAAATAAGTGAATGTGGTTACTCTGATAGGTTAAAAGCATTCATGCTCTTCAATCCAGCAATTTCACTTCTAAAAATGAGAAATAACCAAAGAAGTGTGCACAGAAAAACATACATAAGGATGCTCACTGCAGCACTGTTTACTGGAACAAAAGATAAGCAGTAAGGCGAATGTCTAACAGTAGGGGATGAGTTAAATAAACTCTGGCCACAGTGAAACAACAGAATCCCAAGCAGCTATAAACAATGATGACTAACACAAAAAGATGACCATGCTGTATACTGTTAGATAGAAAAGCGGGTTATACTTTTTTTAAAAAAAAAAAAGACAGATGTAAATGCGTCTGGAAGGAAAACACTCTGAAATGTCAGCAGAGATTCTTTCTTCAAAATCCTACTATGGAAGGTTGTGAGAGGATTAAGTGGATTAATTTACATAGAGTACTTGGCACATAGTAAGTGCTCAATAAATGACAGGGAGATTTTTTATATAGCATTTGTTTTTGCTCAGTTTTCCTTCAATCAACGGATCTTCTTTGCAGAATTTTTTTTTTTTTTTTTTTTTTGAGACAGAGTCTCACTGTGTTGCCCGGACTAGAGTGCCGTGGCATCATCCTAGCTCACAGCAACCTCAAACTCCTGGGCTCAAGCGATCCTTCTGCCTCAGCCTCCCGAGTAGCTGGGACTACAGGCATGTGCCACCATGCCTGGCTAATTTTTTCTATGTATTTTTAGTTGTCCGATTAATTTCTTTGTATTTTTAGTAGAGACGGGGTCTCGCTCTTGGTCAGGCTGGTTTCGAACTCCTGAGCTCAAACAATTCGCCCGCCTCGGCCTCCCAGAGAGCTAGGATTACAGGCGTGAGCCACCGCGCCCGGCCCAGAATTAAATACTTTTTAAAACCACAGCTTTCAGCTCTTTGCCATATTTTTATCTACAGCAATGGTTCTCACCCAGAGGTGATTTTGCGTCTCTGGAGATAGTTGTGGTTGTCACAACTTGGGGAGAGGCGGGTGCTACTGGCTCTACTAGGTAGCAGCCAGGGATGCTGCTAAACATCTTATCATGCACGGGACAGCCCCCCCACCACAAAGAATGATCTGGCCCCAAATGTTGGCAGTGCCATGGTGAAAAAACCCTGATTTGGAGGAAACTGTCATTGCAATGCCTTTCAGACTCCTTGCATCTGTCACCCCAGATCTGCTCCACAAAGCCTACCCAGGATCATCCGGGTGACCAGACACTCCCAAGGTATAGACAGAACCTCTAAGTTAGAGCTGACAGCGGATCCTGATCACCCACTGAGTCCTGGGAAAAAGTCACTGGTGGAAGACTCCTCCTAAAGCTTGCGTCTTAAACCCTCAGGAGAAATTCTCTTCCTAGAAGAGCATAATGGTTGAAAAGGGATTATCACCTTTTTTTTTTTTTTTTTTAGCCTGCTAAGAATTATCCTCTTTGGTGAACAGTAAACAGCTCTGATGGGCAGAGAACCCTGTGGTAGTTAACCCTTTCTGGGCCAACCCACTGAGGCTTCTGTATAAATGGTGCTTCTGTCAACAGATGTGACACCCCACAGCACAGGGACCTCAGCAAAGACAAAGGTCCTTTGAGACCAGAGAAAGGGAGGAGGACATGCTCTTTGGCCCTGGCACCAGGTTACTGCTGGCTCCAGCTTGCCACCTCCCTTTTTCCTCTAAAAGCAGCCAGATGATCGCACTGAATGACGGTGTCCCCAGATGCAGAAGTGACACGCAACCTTGCTGAAGATAAGGGAAGAAAAGGCCACAGAACTTAACCGGCGTTTCTCCACCTCGGCACCACTGATGTTAGGGCTGATCGTTCTTTGCTGTGGGGGGCTGTCCTGTGCGTGATAGGATGGAAAGTAGGACAGGATACGTGCAAGGTCTCTAGGCATTGCCAGATGCCCCCTAAGGGGCCAAAATTGCCTCACTTGAGAACCACTGGCTTAAACAGATTCTGAATCCCTGTCCAGGGCAAGCTGGATCTGACTGGCAAATATTCATGGAACCAAAGAGGAAAGAAACAAAACAAAACTGTCCCAAAATTAAATAATTCCTCAATGCTAACTCCAGTTAGCTCCCTACTTGGAGAGTGAGCATATTCTCTAGACTGTGATACTGATGATAAGAAGTCTTATGCATTTAACAGCATTGACTGAGCACCTACTATGTGCCAGGCACTGTTCTGGGCATTGGGGATACAGCAGTGGAGTAAAAGACCACACCCCTGCTCTCAGGTTGTTTACCCAGGTCTGAGAAGGATACAACCCAGGCAATTGCTCTCACTCAAACACTGATGAATTACCTGCCACAGGAAGGAACTCAAACTGGATTCAGGAACAAAAAGCGCTGCTCCACCCGCAGCAAGACCTATTTGACACTTAGGGCCTCTGTCCTTTACACACACTGCCTTACCTACTCCTCATTGCTAGCCTAGGAGATCAGCATCCCCACTTCACAGATGGGGACATTGAGGTTCAAGAGATAGAGAAGGAGAACTGCAGACTCCACATTAACTACCACCACCCCAAAGCACTGTGGGAAATACCGCCCCCAACAAGCCCTGATCGCCCACTAGAGGTAAATGGAGTGACTACTCTGGGTGCCAAATCTCTTCGGTCCAATTCAGTCCTAAGGTTTCCGGTTTGTGGGTTGCAGCTGGACTCTGCCCTAGGGGCCGGTGTCTTCCTGCAAGGCCACCTAGTAAACCACCAGGGCAGGGCAGAGCCGACTCGGAAGAGAAGAAAGCAGAGGCTCAGGTTGCACCCTTTACCTGGGACCCGAAAGGCAAAGGGAAGGGGCAGATGGTGTTGGCTTCCATTTCCCACTTTCCACCCAGGGCCTAGGCTGAGCTGGGCTGGACCAGGGGAGGGGGGCCACGAGGTGGGGAGGAAATAGGGTCTGAAACTGGGCTCCCTTCCCAATACTCCCGGGAACTTCTTCGACATGACATAAGGGGGAGGGGTCTTGCTCTTTCAGAGCCCAAACTGAGGGAGGGATTCATGCCAAGCACCCTGTGTCTGATGTCACTCCACAAAGCAGCTGCCCCGACCCGGACCCCTGTCCTAAATGGAGAAAAAACTTCAGGTGGCTTCTCCTAGAAAGGGAAATTTCGCAACTCCGTCTTCAAAATCCCCTCCTTGCCTCGCCCCTTCAGGCTTCCTACCCTTGCAGGGGAGGTGGGGAGTCCTGATCTGGAACGTGGGAACTCTGAGGGAAGAGGGTTCATAGGTCCCACGAGGGAGAGGCTCGGGGAGTTTAAGGAAAGAAGAGTGTCAATGAAATGGGAGGATGCATTTTATGGTTTTTTGGGGCGGGGGGAGTTGAAGACCATTCTGAAAGGGAAGAAGGGAACGATGAGTCAGGCTAAGGATGAAGGACTTTGGGGGAGAAGGGGAGAGGGATGATTGGGGATTGGGGCAGCAGGAGGGAGTGGAGGATTTGGGGGCATCTGAGGAATATGGAGATGTGAGGTGTCTGGGATGTGTGGGAAGAGACGGAGGAGCTGACATGTTCAGGGTAAAGGGGATCTTGGGGGCCTGGGAAACTAGGACCTGGGTGCCTAGGGGAGAGATGATTTGGGGATGCTCTGGAGAAGAAGGATTCAGGTGTGTCTGGAAGCGCCCTGGGGCAGGGCTGCAGACCAGCTCCCCCCTTCATCCCGGCTCACCGAAGAAGGGCGGCAGGTGGGACACCGCCTCGAGGAAGGGTCCGGTCTCGATCTGCTTGTCCGCTGGCAGCGGCTTCAGCAGGTGCTCCGCCAGCAGCGCCATTTCGGGGTCGAGGCCCGCGGTAATGCCCCAGCCCGCTCCGCGGGCGTCCACGCCGCCCCCCGGGCCGCCGCCGTCACCGCCGGGGCCGTCACTGCCTCCTTCCGCAGACTCTGGGGAAGCCAGCGTCGCCACTTCCGCCAGCGCTGCGCCCGCGTAGCCGAGCGCTCAGCGCCGCCCTCCGGCGAGGCGCCTAAGCTGCTCCCCGCGCCGCCCCGCCTCCGCCCGCAGGAGCCCAATCCGAGCCCGCCGCCGCTCCTGTCTGCCCAATCCGCGCCGGCTGCCGTGGGCCTCCGCGCCGCCATTGGCCGGGGGGCGGGGCGGAGAAGAAACGCGCGGTCTGGTGGGTGCCGATCCGCCCCGGTGAGCCGCTCCCAGGTGAGCGTTCCCCGGGTGTGCCTCCCACCGCCCCCGGCTTGGCCCCCCAACCCGGGCGGGCCAGTTTCCGCCCGGTCCTCGCCTGATGGGGCCGTTGAGCTTCCCAGATCACAGCTCACGGCCAACCCACCAGCCCAGGTTACAGCCCAGCAGAGCCCGCGCTCCTCAGGACCCCTGTCTCGTCCAAAACGGGGCCTGTCCTCCCAAAGCCCCAAGTGGCGGGGCGCGGTGGCTCACGCCTGTAATCCTAGCTCTCTGGGAGGCCGAGGCGGGCGGATTGTTTGAGCTCAGGAGTTCGAAACCAGCCTGAGCAAGAGCGAGACCCCGTCTCTACTAAAAATACAAAGAAATTAATTGGACAGCTAAAAATATATATAGAAAAAATTAGCCGGGCATGGTGGCGCATGCCTGTAGTCCCAGCTACTCGGGAGGCTGAGGCAGGAGGATCGCTTGAGCCCAGGAGTTTGAGGTTGCTGTGAGCTAGGCTGATGCCACGGCACTCTAGCCGGGGCAACGCAGTGAGACTCTGTCTCAAAAAAAAAAAACAAAAACAAAACCAAAAAGCCCCAAGTGACCTACTGGACACTGCCCAGGTCACGGTGCACTTTAGCTACAACCAACGGGGACGCTTCTTCGTTGCCTCATTCTTCGCCTTCAATGACTTATACCTGTTGAACACTGCTTAAGTCACAAGCTAACTCAGCCACTGCCCGGCTCGACTCCTGCTCCTGCTCCCCAAAATCCAGGATCCAGTCTGACCTCAGCAGTCTGATGTAACCCACTGGAGCCAGCCCAGTTTATATTAATAATCCAATTCGACCAGCACCTGACCGGGCGCTTGTTTCCCAAACCTAACCTCACCCCAACAACCCAGGGTATATGATTCTCACAACCTGAATTTCAATTCTTCTCAGCCACAACCTACCTCCATGCTCATGTCCTAAAACCCAGTGACCAGCATATCCAAAAACCGAACACACCATTGTGGAGAGCCGCTTATTCATTCCAAAATAAATATGTGTTGTAACCCTACTATGTGCCATGCCCTGTGCTAGGCATTGAGGATAAAGTAATGAACAGTACAGCAAGATCCCTGCCCTCGCAGAGCTGCTATTCGAGTGGGGACACAATACAATGCGATACACAAAGTGCTAAGACAATTTCAGACACTGGTGAGGATAAGTGAAGAAAACAAAAACAGTATGGTGACAGAGGATGACTGAGGAGATAGGACGTAGGGCATTAGAGGCAGTACCTCTGAAGAGGTGACGTTTGAGCTGAGACCTGGAGAAGAAGTAGGATATAGCCAGGCCAAAGACTTGGGGTGGGAGGTGCAAAAGCAAAAGCCTTAGATGGCAAAAAGCCTGGTGTGTGCAAGGGACCAGGGTGACCAGGGTGACCAGGGGAGGGGATGGGAGTGGAGTAAGTGAGGGCAAGAGGTGAGTGGAATGCCAGGAGGTGGGCAGAGGCTGTCGGGTCAGGTAAGCTGTGGCAAAGAGTTTGGATTTTTTTTTTTTTTTGAGACAGAGTTTCACTGTGTTGTCCGGGCTAGAGTGCTGTGGCGTCAGCCTAGCTCACAGCAACCTCAAACTCCTGGGCTCAAGCAACCCTGCCTCAGCCTCCCGAGTAGCTGGGACTACAGGGATACACCACCATGCCCAGCTAATTTTTTCTATATATATTTTTGGTTATCCAGCTAATTTCTTTGTATTTTTAGTAGAGACGGGGTCTCGCTCTTGCTCAGGCTGGTCTCGAACTCCTGAGCTCAAAGAATCCAGCTGCCTTGGCCTCCCAGAGTGCTAGGATTACAGGCGTGAGCCACCGCACCCAGCCAAGTGTTTGGATCTTATATGAAAGGCAATAAGAAATCACTAGCATAAGAAAATTATCTGCCGAACCTTATTGAATGTTTTCAGTTTAATCTTTCAGGTGGCAGGTGAGAGAGGTTGTTCCAAATGAAAGGCATGGCCCAAGTAGAATCAGGAAGTGAGAGGCGCTAGGAGACACAAAGCTAACATCACCTCTTGCTCATAACCCAGACCCTGACATGCCCCATTAAGTTAGATCTCCCACTGATAGGATCCTAAACCATCAACTCCAGTTTGTTCCCGCCCCACCCAGCCTCACCACCTCGGGCATCCTCTGATACCATCTCCTTGAAGCCTCTCCGGCCCACCCAGCACCCCGACCTAGTGCCAGAACCCCACCCACTTTTTAGACGCCTCCATCAATTCCACAGAGAGATCACAGCCTACATGGGGACCTCTGGCATCAGACAACACCCTGATTTCTCAACTTGCTCCATTCCAGTGTAACTATTCAGAAACTATGGCTGATACAAGAAGCATCTTGCCATAGAACACAGGCTTGATATGCTGAGATAGGTCCTTTCTGGGTTAATGGAGTGTCTTGGAAGTTCATCTGTCCATCCATCTACCCATTCATCCATCCAACAGATGTGTTCAGAGCCTGCTCTTGCCTTTCCATAGCTTACGACAGGGGCCAGGCTGGTAGCATAAATGGAGTCTGTGGGCTAGGTATGACACAATGGGGAGTGGGGACTTTGGAGACCTGGGGGTCCCATAGCCCATCTAAAGTGCACTATTAGGCTGTGACCTGGCCAGTCATTGCCCAGGGTCATTAGCTTTTCATATTCCCCAGGGGAAACCAGAAACCAAGATTTGCAGGTAAAAATTGCTTCCTTTTTAAATGTTGGCAACTAATTCAAATTTTAAGAAGACACCACGCAGGCCACACCAAAAATTTCTTTCTTTCTTTTTTTTTTTTTGACACAATCTCAAACTTACAGAAAAGTTGTAAGTATAAACACAAATAATTTTTTTTCCTGAACCATTTGAGCATAAGTTGGTGAGACAATTCCCCATCACCCTGAACACTTACTTCAATGTATATTTCTTCCCAAACAAGGACGTTCCCTTACAGAATCAAAATACATCCATCAATGCAGGAAATTAACCCTCAGACATATACCACCTAATTCTCAGACCTTATTCAAAGTTTGCCGTTTGTCCCAATAATGTCCTTTGTAGATGAGGGTCCGGTCCCCGACCCTCATTGTCCAGTTTCTTGGGTCTCCTTCAGTGTGGAACAGTTCCTTAGTCTTTCCTGTACACCAATGACTTTGACACTTTTGAAGAGGACAAGATGGTTACTTTGTGGAACGTCCGTCAGTTTGGGTTTGTCGGGCGTCTCCTCACAGTTAGGTTCAGGTTGTGCAGCTTAGATTAGATGCAGTTGTGGATTTTGCGCATCACAAAAGATTGCAGGAGCGAAGCTGTGTCCTTCTTATTGTATCGTAACAGATGACACACACTTTTGATTTGTCCCATTATTAAAGATCTTAACTTCGATCACTTGAAAAAGAGAGTGTCTTCCAGGTGTCTCCATTGTAAAGCTGCTCTCTTCCCCTTTGAAATTCATAAATATTTCATAGGGAAGTACTTTGAGATGAGATAAATATACCATCACTCATCAAACTTTCCATTTATTTATTTACCTCATGTGGATTCATGATTCCATGGGTTCAAATCCATTACTATTTTGATTTATTTGGATGCTCAAATTGTCCCAGATTTGGCCTGTGATAGCCTCTCCAAGCTGGCTTCTGTATTTTGTCAACATGTCCCCATTATTCTTTAAGTACTTCCTTACTCTCTGGCACAAGAAATTCCAGATTTACTTTTTTTTTTTTTTCTGAGACAGGGTCTCACTCTGTCACCCCAGCTAGAGTGCAGTGGCATCATCATAGCTCACTGCAACCTCAAACTCCTGGCCTCAAGTGATCCTCCTGCCTCATCCTCCTGAGTAGCTGGGACTACAGGCACATGCCACCTCTCTGGGCTAATTTTTCTATTTTTTGTAGAGACAGGGGTCTTGCTCTTGCTTAGGCTGGTCTTTAACTCCTGGCCTCAAGCGATCCTCCTACCTTGGCCTCCCAAAGTGCTGGGATTACAGGCGTGAGCCACGGCACCCGGCCTCCAGACTTAATCTTGTACTTTCCCTCCCTTAGTCCTGAAATCAGCCAGTTCCCCAAAGAGCCTTTCAGTGGAGAATGGTATTTAGAAACCAAGACCTAGATGTGCTCGTTATTGGGATGTCACTGCTCCTAGATCCTCTCAGTGGACAGAGTTTTCTACACATACACACACTCTTACATCTAAGTATATGTTTCCATGTCATCTACCTATATCAGAAACCATGGTTTTTCACCCTGATAGATCTGATTCCAATCTAACTCCACAGGGCCAATTCTACTTTTCTCCCTTTCCATGTTTGTAATTCTTCTCCTGCAGTGAGGAGCCTGGTGTTCTCATTGTTTTTCATATGTTTCCTTATTTGACCGATCCCCCAAATGCAACAATGGCTGGGCCACCGCAGCTCTCCATGAGTTGCAAACCCCCTCTCCAACTGATTTGCAGGACGAACTTGACAATGGAGTTAATTCTAGTGGTTGCAATTGACTCAGTGGGGGCGAGGCATTCACCCTGCAAAGTTTCATCATTCTCCTGAATCAGCTCCACCCAGTGTTAATAACATCTTCCCCGACTGAATCATCCAATCCTGGTTACATGGACTGTCTTTTCCCAGCAGCGTCTGTTGGGATGAATAATGTAGGCCAAGTTCACAGTCTTTTTGACATTTCATCCTATATACTCAGCCTCTCCATTGCAGCAAAGTAATAATAACAATCACAGCTAACATTTATTGAATACTTACTATGCATAAAGCCCAACAAACACC